AATTTGAATGAAAAAATATGTTGATTTAAAATTTTTCTGTTTATTAATTCCAAATGGGGGAATATTCCATGTTAAAGAATTCGTTTTGTTCGTTTTCTTTTAATAAAAAATATAAAAAAATTTTTTATATTGAAAAAAATATATTTATTTAAATTTGATGAAGGAGAATAAAATAATCGCAGACTATTCCAAATCCTCATTAATCAATGAATTAAACAAATCCATATAAAAAATATTTAATCCATAAAATTAATATTAAAAAACTCTTGATTTCATGTGAATTAAAGCACGGGTAGAAATCAAGTTTGAGTTTGAAATCGTTTTTTAAAACACTTTGAATAAACTCATGTTTTCATAGAAAAATACAATTTCTTTAGGTGAATTCTAGAGAAATAAATTGTATTTAAAAAAATTTTTTTTTAAGTTATAAGTTTTTGTATTTTTGCAGGGATAGCCATATTCATAAATCATATTTACCATTAAATTTTGAAGTCGTCAATTAGTTAACATCACTCTTGAATTTTTAATTATTTAAGTAATCATCAACTTGAATATTAAAATTCTTAGTTATTTTATGACCCAATAATTTAGGTAGAAAGATTGATGACTATTTGATTAATCGAAAATCCTCTTTTAAGAAATTACACTGTTAGAAAGTTACTCTTAAAATTTCAAGTAAAAAATCTTGAAATTTTCAACAACGAATAATTTACATGGAATTTCCATTGACCTTGTTATTGATAAATCACTCAATGTTCTTGAATATTCAATGAAATTTGATTTCTCAGGTTCATACGACAATGAAAATTACTGAAAATCATGAAAATTCAAGCAACTTTTCTTCTGAATTTTCACTCTGTTGCTTAATTTTCGCGATAGGTTTAAAAATCCAAACTGTCATTGAAAATTCAAATGATCATTCATAATAAAAAACTTAATTTTATTGAATTTCCACGAGCAATTTAGTCTGAAATTGAACTCAAGTTCAGAATATTGAAAATTCAAATGCATCTGTTACTTAAACTCTGTTCCTTAAACTAAATTTACAGTTCCATATTATCAAATATTTAATTCATCATCAATTGGGTATTTAAAATTATCAATATTATACTATTTAAAAAATTTTGATGAGTGTATTTAAACCTTTATCAATGCAAATAGGAAATCGTAATATTGAAGAAATGTAACATTGATGGCCACCCCTGGCTGGAAGGAGTTGTTCAATAATGATAACCAGAAACGGCTGGATAAATTATGAGAATGATACTCTGATTTCACGTGAATGGTTGATTTCAATCAAGTTTATGAAGAAGAAATATGAATAAGAAATTTCTAAAAAACTTGGAGTAAACTGTTTCCTCCAGACTTGAATTCTACAAAAATAAATACTATCCACTCCAGTTTTCTCTACTTAAGACAACAGCCCCTACGGCATTTGTTTTCTTTTATATTTTGTATACTGATTGTACCTCAAAATGCTGATACTATTACACAACAGGGTTCTTAGTATTTAAGGGATAGGAACAAAATGTAAAGACCCGAGAGGGTGTACATGTGGCAAAATAAATAAAAAATACTGCAGAAAACCTCAAGCCAAAAATTCGAAATCCCCCCCAGCGCCAACCCCCATTACTTCGCCCACCCCTCCCCCCAAACCCCCCATCAATGAATCAACCAAATCCATATCAACGATATTTAATCCATAAACTAGTCTCTCGGCAATGTTCGTCGAGCGTCGCGCTGCTCGCTCCTCTGCGTCCCGTCTAAGAATAAAACGTAGGGGGCAGCCATATTTGGCAATGGGCAACAGCGGAGTGCCCATGCCAGTGCCTAGTCCACTCACTGACCATGCGGGATGACTTTTGTCTCCAGTACCATCACCACATCATCCCAAACATTCCCATTACCCAACATCGCCATCCCCCCGCCCCCAACCCCAGCCCAAATCGATCCCCTTCCATTCTATTTCCGTTATTCTCCTAATTCTGTTGTACGTAGCATCATCCTCATGCCCTCATACCTTTTGACAATAAATCTTGTCTTCTCGGAGGGAGGGGCTTAACCATCAATCGATTGTCATTGACAACGTCCTATATTTTTTTTATTTTCAAACATCTCCAATCGATTTAATAACGAGAATTCACGCAATTACTTCTGTTTAATCATTAAAATAAATCATGAAACCTTTTCGATTGTTTCATTCCTATTATTTCATTTCTGTTGTTATTGTCATTACTTTGAGAAGTGAGAGGAATAATTTATTTTCCATTAAAACTCAATTTAATTATCTGGAGAAAATTAATTTTCTTTTGTTTACTCATGAATAATCATGAATATTCTTTTTCTTTGGGAATTGAGTAGAAATTTTTGAGATACTTCCCCCCATGACCGGTTTTATGAATAAAAATAATGAATATCTCGAGTGAAAATTCTCGTGGCGGAGTGCCAACAATACAGCATCTCGTCTAGTCATTTTTTATTCATCTGATTTTATTTTTCTCGGGAGTGAGGAAGAAAGGGAAACGACGGGATGTGTTTTCACGCTTTTTATCCGAATGAAGAGGCGGACAAACGTTAATTGTTAAGTTGAGAGGTGGGAGACAGCAAAATCGATGGTGAGATGAGAGGGAGAGGATTTTCTCGTGGAGTTTTGACGAAAGTCGAGGGATTGGGGGTTGATTGGGCACTTACCAGGGCTCATCAGACGTTTACTCTCCCATTGTTGTAATCACAGAACTGGCCACTGGGTTTTTCGGGAAAACTCGCGATGTTTTTGGGGATTTTTGAGAGGGAAAGTTCGGGCTTTTTGGGGCGGGGGCGGCGAGAGCACTTGTTACTGCTTGTTATTGCACTTTATGAAGTGGTTTTGGTGCGACGGACGAGGGTTTTGGGGATTTGTGGGCCTGGAGAAGCAACACCGAAGCACCGAGTCGACAACAGTCGACAATACTGGAGAACACGAGAGGAGAGACGGAAGACATAGTGGACGCCAGCGCCGCGATCGGGGGTTTCGGGAAGCTTGAGGTGAGCGGGGATTGGCCGGCGCCGGGGGGTGGGGGAATTTCGGGGGCTCTGATTGGTTGGCGAGGTGGAGGGAATAGGGAGGAAGTTTGAAGGGGCTTTCGGAGATGATTGCGGGAATTCCTGGTGAAATGATAATTTCTTTAGAAAATTTTTATGCATTAGTACTTGAATATTACGGTTTTTACGAGTTTTTTCTGCTCTTATTTTTTATCCTTCGTAATTTAGCGGGGAGTGATAAAGTGCAATTGTTGTAATTGTATTTTATTATTTGGAATGAATGGAGAGTTTGAATCGACTTTCATTCGAGATTTTTTCTTTCAGATTCAGTGAAACTGTCGGGTGATGAAATAATACAAGAGATGTTCTTTTTATTTTAGTTGTAGGAAGAGGGATGAACAATTGGAAATAATTATTTGGAATAAATGGAACTTGGGTGTGAAGTGGAGGTGTGAAAGGGCTTTGGGAAATTATTATGCGTTAGCTTGAATATTACGGTTTTTACGAGTTCTTTTTCTACTCTCATTTTTTATCTTTCGTAATTTATTGCGGGGAATGATGAAGTGCAATTGCTGTGATTGTATTTTATTATTTGGGATGAATGAAGAGGCTTGATTCGACTTTCAGCGGAGTTTTTCCCTTTTTTTCACATTCAGTGAAACTGTCGGGTGATTAAATAATACGAGAGATGTTTTTTCATTTCAGCTCTAGGAATTTAAACTTTCATAATTTTTGTAATTTACTGTGATTGTGGAATAGAATGCTTTATTTTCTTGATGCTACTATTATAATTTTATATCTGCACAAGCCATAGAAAAATATCTCCCGTAACACTCCAATAAATTATGTTTTTCTATCGATGATAATAATAATAATAATGCTTAATGCGTAGTGATGATATCGCAATATCACAGTTTAAGCGATTGATCATTTTTATTTTCTCTCTCTCTCTCTCTCTCTCTCTCTCTCTCNTCTCTCTCTCTTCAAGTTTATACTTTCAGTCTTCTCATCACCCTCTCGCAGTTTAATGCGTGTTCCAATGATTCTATTGAGTCTTTGCAAGCTCGGTACTTAGTATCCATATAGCCACCTCTTCCCTCTCTCACTGCATATACTCTCATTGTATTTTATTACTTGCGATGAATAGGAAACAATATGGGTTGTTACAAAATAATAAACTGGAAATAATTAATTACGAAATAGTTCTCCCCAGTTTTGGCAATCGGTTAATTGTTTCATTAAGTTTATTAGTTATTGGTATAAAAATTGGGACAATTAATTTATCGATGAGACCATTGATTAAAACTTGTCGATGAGCTGGAGAATGTGCTGCTGCTCAGCCTCTCGCCACTCAGTGTCTCCAGCGTCTCCCAAATTTCCAGCGTATTCTAAAAAAAAATAAAAAATGTAGTCCAATCCACGGAACTTTAATTATGTTTAGGGGAGGTAGGGGCAAAGCGGACCCCCGGGGCAAAGCGGACCCCTTCGAAAAAAAAAGTGTGGGGTAAAGTGGACCCTCACATAAATTATTGAATCGAGTCGCCAGAATTATTCTAATACGTTTTATAAAGTGAAATTTACTACCTTGACTAAAAAAATATGCAATGAGGGCAAGTATAAATTTGTGTGAGCTCCTGCGGATCTAATTGTGAACAA